ATACTGCACTCAAGCCTGGGCAACAGAGCAAGACCCTGTCTCAAAAAAAAAAAAGAAATTCTCCTAGGAGGGCAAAAAAGGATGTGCTCAAGAAAGTTCATTGCAGCATTGTCTGTAATAGCAAAATATTTTCAAAAGCTAGGAAATTCAAACATGGTATATTATTCATAGAATGGAATACTATATAGTAGTATTTTAAAGATATATAATACAATTTATGATATGATATTATATTTTATTTATTTTTGAGACAACCTCACTCTGTTGCCCAGACTGGAGTACAGTGGTGCAATCTCGGCTCACTGCAACCTCCGCCTCCCAGGTTCAAGCATTTCTCCTGCCTCAGCCTTCTGAGTAGCTGGGATTACAGGCACCTGCCACCACGCCCGGCTAAGTTTTGTATTTTTAGTGGTGACAGAATTTCTTCATGTTGGCCAGGCTGATCTCTAACTCCTGGCCTCAAGTGATCCACCCACCTCAGACTCCGAAAATGCTGGGATTGCAGGCACAAGCCGCTGCACCCAGCCTGACATGGTATTTCAAATAAATGAACTTAAAATCATGTGGAATTAACAACGATAAAATCTCAAAAATATAATGTTGAATGTAAAGCAACCTGTAAAAATGACACTATTTATACAAGTTTGAAAACATGCAAAAGACTATTACATATTGTTAGACATCTACAAATGCTTTAATAATATAAATACATGCCTGGAAAAGAGAAACCCGAATTCAGTCTTTATCTCAGGGTGCAGTACACAAGGGGATTTCCGTCATATCTTTTTTTCGTAACTTCTTTTCGTTTTAAGAAAAATTAAGTAAGCAAGGCAAAATACTGGAATTTAGTGGAGATGAACGGTGGATTTATGGACCTTCATGATGTTATTCTTTGCATTCTTCTTGGTATTTTAAATATTTCATAGTCAAAATAATAATTGCCTCTATACACAAAAAAATATAATAGTGGTTAAAAGCACTAACCATGAGCTCTGGAGCTGGAAAGCCTGGGTTTTCTCCCATTTCTACTGCTCACTATCTGCGGGCTTTAGCAAATTCCCTAACTTCTCTGAGCCTGGTTGCTTTTCTGTAAAATAAGGATAGCAGTAGCTCTTTCCTTATATTTTTATGAAGATTATATGAGTTAAAATGCAAGATGCTTAGTATTATATAATGTTGGGCACATAGCAAATACAAGTTTTAGGAATGTTTCTTAATTTTTTTGTTTGTTTGTTTTTGTTTTTTGAGATACGGTCTCTCTCTGTCACCCAGGCTGGAGTGGAGCTCACTGCGGCCTGGACCTCCTGGGCTCAAGCAATCCTCCCACCTCAGCCTCTGAGTAGCTGGGACCACAGGAGCCCGCCACCACACCCAGCTAATTTTTTAATTTTTTGTAGAAAGGCGTCTCACTATGTTGCCCAGGCTGGTCTGGAACTTCCAGCCTCAAGCGATCCTCCCACCTCAGCCTCCCACAGTGCTGGGATTACAGGCATGAGCTACTTACTGCACCCAACCCTTTTAAAAATTATTATTACTTCTCATCCTTGGAAACTCTGCTGTCAACTCTGCGCTGGCTTCCCCAACACTGTCCCCACGTCTAGTTGGGCACCCCATCCTGAGTTTTTACCCTTGCTCAAGTGGGTGGCTTTCCTTTTTTTTTTTTTTTTTTTTTTTTTGATACAGAGTCTTGCTCTGTCATCCAGGCTGGAGTGCAGTGGTGTGATCTTGGCTCACCGCAACCTCCATCTCCCAGATTAAGTGATTCTCCTACCTCAGCCTCCCGAGTAGCTGGGATCATAGGCATCCGCCATGCCCGGCTACATTTTTTTGTATTTTTAGTAGAAACGGGGTTTCACTATGTTGGTCAGACTGGTCTCAAATTCCTGACCTCAGGTAATCCACCCCCCTCAGCCTCCCAAAGTACTGGGATTACAGGTGTGAGCCGCTGCACCCGATCCTTGACTGTACTATTATCTTATTTACCTTTGTATTCCAAATGTCTTGCAATGGTAGGAATATGAGTCATTATTAACAAACAAACAAATGAACAGGTGACTATCCCTTCTTTCACCCAATAAACCTACCTGTGTTCTTTCTCCCCTTCCTCCTTCCTCTTCCCAAGGGCCCAGTACTCTAATAGACTGGCTTAAGTACCTCTAGTCATGGAAGATATACTTAGCAACACTCTTCTTGTATAACAAAAGAAACCCTTCTGTAGAAGTCACTCTTGAAACAAAAGAAAGAGTCGCTAGGGGTGGAATCTTAGATCCTAAGGCACACCCCCTCCTCCGCAGCTATTCTCTCTCTCTGCTTAGTGCGGGACCATCTCGACAAATGAGAAACACTGGAAGATAACGTGGGAACAGAGCTCTCAGGGAAAACGCCACGAGTGTTCTCTTGAAAAGTTGTGTGTGAGACACATTTTTTAAAACACAAATCATATTCTGAATGAGTAAAAGAATGTTTTTAATTTACTGGAGAAACTGGCTTGTTAAATCCTATTGTGAATTCTTTCTTAAAACCGAAGTAAGGAATTCTTTTGTTAAGTAAATATCAAGCCCTTCCCTGCCAAAGATCTTTTGAAATCTTTGCTGTAATGATGCTGATGTTTTCTGTGTTTATATGTCAAATGCCTGGAGCTTAATCGTTAATGGGTAAATAAGAGACGCCGCTAGGTCCTTGCCAAGAGAGGCCCAATAGCTGAGGTTGGGAGAACAATGGCTCTGCAGGACTCCCCCAGAGAGAGAAGAGGGGAGAGGACAGTTAGGGAAAGAGTGGCTCTATTCTCTTGTAGATGCAGCTCTTGAAGGAGTCAAGGAAGAGACCAGCCTGAGGAATGAGAACGCAGGCACGTGTGCTGGAGTGGACCTGAGTCTGAACAGCTCTGGCTTTGCTTCATTTCTCCTTCTTGCCAGTAGATCAGGAATTCCTGCTGCTTTCAAGAAAACCATCAGTAGCATATGGTGCTATTGGAATCACCGCCCACCAGTGGGCAGAAGAAAGCTGGGGTCACAGGCTAATTTCCCCAGGCAGGTGGCCTGGGTTGAATTCCACGCCCGCCACTGTACGCTAATCTGCCCCACTTTAGGCATGTTATTTAACCTCTGTCCTTGGAGTCCTATGCAGCAAAATGGGGATGAGAGTGCCTACCCCATAAAGGGTTTTCTGAAAATTAATTAATATTGTAGAAAAATGCTTAGAACCGTGTCTGATGTACATGCTATATATGTTAAATATTTAACTGACCGTTAAGGCCAGGCACATTGGCAAAGTAACCTTAAATCCAAAAACAGCAGACCAACTGTAAGGAAAGAGCTAACTGGAAATTTTTGTAAGTCTCTTTGCTGAGGAAGCCTTTTCCAGATTTTTTTTTTTTTTTTTTTTTTTGAAACAGAGTCTCGCTCTGTTGCCCAGGCTGGAGGGCAGTGGTGTGATCTCGGCTCACTGCACCTCTGCCTCCTGGGTTCAAGCGACTCTACTGCCTCAACTTCCTGAGTAGCTGGGATAACAGGCACATGCCACCACACTGGGCTAATTTTTGTATTTTTAGTAGAGACGGGGTTTCACCATGTTGGTCAACCTGGTCTCGAACTCCTGACCTCAGGTGATCCACCCACCTCAGCCTCCCAAAGTGCTGCGATTACAGGCATAAGCCACCGTGCCTGGTGCCTTTTCCAGATTTGAAGTTGTAGGGAGAGCTGAGGATATTCACAGGGCAAGGGCTTGAGGTAGAGAGTTGAAGACTCGGGTCTGCTAAAGCAAGGTCATTCCCTCTGGATTCTAGTTCTTCAGATGGATAGAATGAGGTCAAAAATAAAGCTCTCACCCAAGTAGGAGGGAAAAAATGCTCTCAAGGATTGCCAGACTAAAAGTTTCAGAGTTGAAAAGGGCATTTCAAGCTATAAGCAGCCAGCCAAGAGCTAGGCACAGGGTGTCTCAGTTCTTGGCATTGCTGGGCCAGCATCTATACTTAGGGAAAATCCACATGGAAGGACCCCTTCTCCTCTCTCCAGGAAAACACTCAGCTCAATGACAGCTGGGTCCAAAGCAGGGGCCTAGCAAGTACTTGTCTGGGCCTCTGGTGCCGGAGTCAAAGGAGGTCCCCAACCAGCCTTGGGATTCCAGCAGGGACTTCACCCCATGTTCAGGAGGGGAATCTTCAGGTCTCCCTCAAAGACCCTCTGTGGGCAGCTCCTCCACCGTCTCCTTGCTGCTGTTCAAATTCTCACTTTTTTGTGTGTGCCACTTTTAATTTGTGAAGGCATTGTCACGTCTGCTAGCTCACCTGATCCGCGCCCCCACATCTTCAGAGGATACGGAAAAGTGCTATTAGGACATCTGACAGTCAAGGAAGCAGAGACTCAAATGGTTAATGTCAAGCCCAGGACCACAGAGCTATTAGCAGAGACTTACGCCTGCGCCTCTGACCCTGGCCTGGACTCTTCACATTACACTCTGCCACACTTCCTCTCCTGTGTGACGGCTCCCCCAGGAAAAGAGGAAAGACAGGAGTTATTCTAGGCAAAGTAACCTTAAATCTGAAAGCAGAAGATGAATTGTAAGGAAGTGCAGCTCCAGGACGTGTTCCCCTATCTTCCCATCAGACCTCAGCCAGCAGCCATGGGCACAGGCCTCTCTTTCCTCTGTGCTGCTTCCCCACCCTGCTTCCCATTCTGGGGTAGGTCCCTCCCAGCCCATTATGGCTGGGACATGCGGCATCTTTTTTCTCTGCTTCTCCAGAACCAGCTGGTTCTGCTCAACTCCCAGAGATGATTTTCTAAGAACCCCAACACTTCTATCTGCCCGGGCTACCAGAAAGAGAAAGGGCACCCCCAGAGACACTGAAGACTCAGAGGCTCCAGAAGCCACCAGCACTTTCTATGATGTGACTGGCTCTGGGTGCTCCTTGTCTTGTGAAAGAGGCTGGCTCAAATGGCACAGATATTGAAGATCTTCCTGAAGAAGACAGGAAGAGATGCTCAGGTTGGGGAGGGAATGAGACCCCCTGAGGAAGGGACTCCTCCCAGCTGAGGAGTTGATTAGAAGCAGCCTTGGAGTTGGCAGGAGCCTTAGAGACTGCCTGAGCCAGTCCAGGAAGCTGGCTGAGGAGCTTGGGAGCAAGAGACTAAAACCAGCCAAGTTTGGGACAGAAGGGAAGGAAAGGGTTGAGCAGTGAACAGAAAGACAAAGAACAGGCAGTTCCAAAGAGCCAAGAATGCAAATCATTTGCAGACACCGCTAGCGAGAGCCTCCACCAAGGCTGCTGTGGGGGTGCCTGACGCTGTGGGCACAACCACTTCTACACGTCATGGTGAGCGTGAGCCCATGTGTGTGAGCGTCCCCGCTGAGTCATCCGATGTGTGTAATGATTGTGTCAGTTGTGAGTCACCAACTGTGTGTCAGTCGGGGCGGGGTGTGTGTGTGTGCTCAGTGCACAAGCACGTGAGGGCTGCCTGTGCCCAGAGTGACAGTGGAATGTGAATGAGAGCCAGAGAACCCGAGGAGCTCAGAGCACTCCCAGGGGGAAGCTGTGTTTAAAGGGCACCACGCTTCATTCACACCGTACATCACACACCACATTTCTGAACACGTTCCAGAGAAAGCCATCTGTGCCTGCTTCCTGCTGAAACCCCCTATGGAGCAGCAGTGCTGAATTCTTCAAGCTCATGGGGTTGTTATCAGAGTCAGATATGGCCACAATCTTAGAATCCTGCATTTCAAGCCCTTCATTTTGCAGAGGGAGGAACTGTGGCAGAGAAAACTGACACAATGGTCTCAGAGTCACAGAGCTAGCTGGTAGAAAAGCCAGGTGGGGGCCCAGGTGTCTGTCCAGACTTCCCTGCCCAGGACTCGGTATGTCAGCACAGAGTGGGTCCTTTTTCCTTTTTTCAGCAGGGATGTGATGACATCACTTCTTTTAACTAAAATGCACCCAGATCCTCCCATGAAATGACACCCTGATGTCGCGTCCTAAAGGCTGGATTTGATGAATAGCCCAAAACGCAAAGTTGGGGCATCTCTGGCCAGACCGTTCTAGACCAAGAGTCATTTGACCTATTTTCCCAGAGCCTTGCCCCACCCAGGTCAGGAGGAGTCCACAGGGAGACCCATTCTTAGGTCTCCAGGTCCAAAATTGGCCAGGCACTTTGGCAGCCTTGATGCTGTGTGATTCAGAAGCTGCTTATGAGATGTTTGCGGATGTCTCATGCAGGACTCCTGACTCGTCATCCTGCCACCTTCCTGGTGGCCATTTCACAGCTCAATTTCTCCTGCCCCACAACAATGAAAAAATAAATGAAAGTATGGGATTTATTTTAGCAGTTTTCAAATTGAGTATCTCAAAGGGTTTAATAGGTAAAGAGCCTAACCCTATTAACTAGTAAGTTGAGGTTTGGGGATTATCTATCAGTTTCAATTATCCATTCCATTCATTCTTCTCAGATGGCTCAGAGTTGACCTGAACTTCAAAGGGATCACTTCAACCACTGGATTTATTGTTCTTATTTCATATTAATTAAGTAGTTACTATATACACAGCACTGTTGAGGCCATTCAATAGGCACAGACACTGCCCTGTATCCCTGGAGAGCAGAGATTTATTATCTCATTTATCGGAACTTCAAAGCCCTTTCGCTCCAATTACAGCTTGTCACTGACTATGGAGGCGGGGAGGTGCTCAGGTCACATGAGACAGGGAGAATGGGAGGGGCAGAGAAATCACTGCTCCAGGCTAGATCTGGAGTGAGGCTGGTCTTACATTTGGGCCCAGGTTCTACATTCATAAACTGGTGTTTTTCCCAACAGGGCTCTGCTAAAAACATGTCCTGGAAAGGGAGGTAAAAGGATGCCTTCTCAGTCAGACACAGTGGCTCACGCCTATAATCCCAACACTTTGGGAGGCCGAGGGGGATGGATCACCTGAGATCAGGAGTTCGAGACCAGCCTGACCAACATGGTGAAACCCTGTCTCTGCTAAAAATACAAAAATTAGTCAAGTGTGATGGTGCGCACACCTGTAATCTCAGCTACTCAGGAGGCTGAGGCAGGAGAATCGCTTGAACCTGGGAGGTGGAAATTGCAGTGAGCTGAGATCGCACCACTGCACTCCAGCCTGATTTTTTGAGACCCCATCTCAAAAAAAAAAAAAAAAGGATGCCTTCTCGTGTGGCAAACTGATGGACAGATTAAGGGTTGATATAGTAAGTGTCCTTCATATGTGACACATGGGCCAAAAGAGTAGAATCACCAAATGTTTCCTTGAATATAAAAAAAATATTTGCAAGGGTATTTATGTCTGCATTATGTGTAATTGCAAAAAGCTATAAAGGACCTGAAAAATCCATTGATAGGAGATCAGTTAAATAAATCAATCATAGTACAACCATACAATGGAAGACAAGCCACTATGAAGAAGGAGTTAGATCTATCTACATTGATCCAAAAAGTGGCATGGGATTATTAGGTTTAAAAAAAGGAAAAGAGGCCGGGCACAGTGGCTCACTCCTATAATCCCTGCAGAGGCAGGAGGATCACTTGAGCCCAGGAGGTCGAGGTCGAGGCTGCAGTGAGCTATGATTGTGTCACTGCACTCTAGCCTGGGTGACAGAGCCAGACAAAAGAAAGAGAGAGAGAAAGAGAGAAAAGAAAGAAGGAAAGAAGGAAGGAAGGAAGGAAGGAAGGAAGGAAGGAAGG